GTTGCTGACAGAGAGTTTCCTTTCAACTTCTTATGCCAGTATCATATCTTAAAAATAAGAACAGAAATGATGCTCATCCAGTCTAGGTCTACAGCAGTTCCCTTTCTCCAAGGGTGGCCAGAAGTAGATGATTCATGCAACAAATGAAGCACCTCTCAATATGTGCTGCTTTACAAATCATTCCCAGCATCCAGCCATCTTAGAGCTGGCAGCTAAACCCTACCTCAAAGTTCCTAACTGATTTAATCTAATTAATATTTTAGCCTACTTATATTCTTCTGCTGCAAAATATAATGCTCCACTTCAGATGCACAATTTAATTACACATTGAAGCTACTTTAGTTTTCATCAAGCAAGTTTAATTCACTGGGTGGCCTAATTCTATTAAGAAAAATAGCTGTCTGGCTTTCTATTCATCATTTCTGTATGCTCTGCAGATTATTTACAGACCTCTATCACCTCTCCCTTTATTATTGTGCTTTCCAGACTAAAGATCCATCTTCCCAGCACTGAGAAACTTCCACACCTCTCATTCACTTTTTCACTATCTACAAAACCTTTGCTGTGCTGTGGTGATTACACTAATGTAAATTGTTAAAAATGCAGGTACACCATTGACATACTTAATGAACTAACAATTACTTTGTGAACAATTCCTAACAGCTTCCTTTAACAACTAATTAGTCAAATACCTTTTTTTTTTTTTTTTTTTTTTTTTTTCTTTTTTTCTAACCACTTAGCAGTTTCTTTATAAGTTTCTTGGGCTTGTTACCTCTAACAGAACATTTTGTACAACACTGGACCTTTTCTGCTCCTGAGTGTGAAGAAAAAAAAAAAAAAATCCATTTTTATCTACCCACTGTTTCTGAACAGGCAAGACTTAAACTGATCAGACCAGCCAGAAGGGAATATACATGAACAATAAAAACAAAAGTATCAAAAATGCATGATGCAGCAATTCACCGTGTACTGGCACTTTAAGCTTTCATAGTAACAACCACAATTCATAAAATGCATACACCACTACAAGAGTATAGAGCAACACAAAACAGAGATGCACCTTTGGAGAAGACTCCAGGGAGACCTCATTGTGGCCTTCCAATACTTGAAGGGAGCACATAAACCAGAGGGGGAACGGCTGTTTATATGAGTGGATAGTGAGAGGAGAAGAGGGAATGGTTTTAAACTGTGACAAAGAGGTTTAGCTTAGGTATTAGGAGGAAGTTTTTCATACAGAGGGTGGTGGCACACACTGGAACAGGTTGCCCAAGGAGGTTGTGGATGCCCCATCCCTAGAAGCATTCAAAGCCAGGCTGGATGTGGCTCTGGGCAGTCTGGTCTGGCTGTTGGCGACCCTGCACATAGCAGGGGGGTTGAAACTAGATGAGCATTGTGCTCCTTTCCATCCCAGACCATTCTATGGCACTCCTATGAACCACAGTTATCCTTCTGTCTAAAGGCTATCTTTTGCCCAGACAAAATATTGTTTAAATATTTTTGAAAGTATATGAAGCTTTATAAGACTGTGTACTTTTTGCCTCAGACTTACTACTTCTTATGGCTCTGTACACTGCAATAAAAATAACTTGTATTCTCTGACAAGGACCTCATTTATACATTGTGCCGTACTACGAAACTCTTTAGTCATCAGCTGTCATGTCTCGCTTTCCCACAATTGGAAATCAGTCACCACAAATTAGATCAGTGGGACCAGAGGCTAAATCTACTGTAAGATGCAACATATTGTTTATTTTCAAAAACATACAGGCATTTCAACATAATAAATTCTGAACTTCCCCAGCTATTTAGTACACTGAAGAAGTTTTGGGTTATCTTCTTTTCTTGTGAAAAGCCACCTAGGTGACTTTCAAAAGCAAATGAAAAACAGTGTTGCAAGCCACAGAAATATTCTGCAATTTGTGGTTTTCATAGGGAGGGTATAAATCTGCAGTTCTTTTTGACTTCATGGCTTCTAATAAAACTGGATTCAATTACTAGTTTCCATTGAGGCCTATGTTTTAATGAGAATATTGGAAAAATTGTTCCAAAATTCATGAACAGAACCATAGCAGTAAAACAGGGCAACGCTCTCTGCATGTTTGGTAACTAAAAAAAGAGTTAACATAGAACTTTTACTCCAAGACAAACAATATTTTCCATTGCAAATTAAAGGTGGAGCCAGTACCATATTCTCAGATGCAGTATCCAAGGCAGTGCACAAGGAAATGTTCTTGCAGCTCTCTTTAGAAGTACACATTTTTTAGGCGGTCTCTACAGGAAAACAACTCTGCACACACACTCTGTGCTCACAGAGTAAGCTCTTTACTCATCATCAGATTTCTCTCTTTTTTTTTTTTTTTTTTTTTTTTTTTAATTAAAGCAGCATGACCTACTTTAGGTACCAGTGCTACATTTACTATGTAGGGAACTTCATCATTCAGAAGCTTAACATATATACTTGATATAGTGAAGAGAATCTTAAAGGCTAACAGTACAAATTTGCAGGACATTTTGCAACAGATGACTCTTAAACAACAGCTGTTTGAAAAATACCTAGATATTTTACCATTTTAACTACATTATGTTAGTATTTTATTTGAAAAGCAACTTTCCCTCATATTGAAGTTAAAATGATAAAACTAATTGTGAAAACAAAGACAAGTGTGTGTCTGTATCAACAAGTCTTACTTATAAAGACCTAATAAAGTTGTGGTAAAATCCTGCTGGATTACAAACCAGAAGGTTTGCAACTCTCAAAGAACAATATCTTCCTAAATTGTTTGAAACACAGAACGGTGCTTCAGCAAATGAGCACCGAATTCCCCTTGTGAGCTCAGCTCTATTTCCATGCTAGAAAATGTAGCACTGTGACATGAGGTGATTGCAACAGTGGCAACCAGTTTGGTACAGAACTGATGATCCACCAATGCAGTTTAGTCAGAAACATACTACAAATCGGCTAAGTGTCAACTGAAGGCTTAGTCGTACTTCTGTTAAATGACTGTAAGATCTACTAATAATATAAGGATGGATGTATCTTAAGTGTAAGAGCAGCAGAACATTAGAGCACATGGACACCTAGGTTATTTTTTTAAAAAGTACATGAACTTCACTGAATATTCCTGAAGCATTTTTTTTTTTTTCCACTACACTTCACGTTACTCAGAAATATACGCATTCATTTCCTTTTCCTTCATATCTCCCTTCCCAATGCAACTAGGCCAGGGCATAACTCCAGAGGACCCCATAATCAGCCCACTGCTTGCCAGATCATATTTCAGTCTGCCTTTGGCTCACACCTGGCATAACTGCAAGAATAACAAATGTTCATTGCCATTCAACTGAATATGCCACAGGGGATACAGGCAAAACACTGAGGAGTAACAAAGTTTCACAGGCACCTCATATTTGGGCTGCCAAAACTAAAAGCAGTCTACAATCGCACTCTTCCGACTGACAAAGTAGTAAAACGCCTAATAACTGAAAGCTGTGTAATAAAACTTGGGATATATAGTAGAAAAAAAAAAAAGAAAGAAATCATAAAAGTAAAATCACTCTTATAGAAACTTTCTCTTTTATGGAGCTCAATCAGAAGAGAAGAGGTGTGTCAAATTACGGCCAACAGCTCCCTTTAAGAAAGCTGATGTTATGAAAACTAGCACAGTTCTGATTCTTTCCACTCACCAATTGCAAGGAATCATAGGACTGTATACTCTAGAACAGGGCTTCTGAAACATGAGACACTCAGCAAGGAAGGCCTGAAGACAATAAATTTCCTCTGTCTGGTTCGTATTATCAGTAAGTAATTCTGTAGAAACTACCCAAACCACTCAATGCCTGTTTTAATGCCTTATGTGTTAGCCATAAATGAAAACACAATTCAGAAAAACCACTAAGTTTAACGTCACAGTAAAAATGCCCAGAAAATGCCATTGGAAATAACTATGTTTCTCTTTAAACGTTTTTTTCTCAATTACAGCCAAAGCAAGCTGTTTCGTGCCTTGGCAGTCAACAATAAGCTTTTGTTTTGTTAAAGACTCGCAAGTGGTCAAGGAGACAAAGCGGTAACTAGTAAGTGAATCACATCGATCAATAAAATAAATGAAGAAATAAATCGGCTTCCAGTCAACAGTGCCACAACACCTCCAGGCTAGCAAATAAGATGTAGAGACTGCACTAAGCATTTGGAAAGTACAACACCAAAACAAAATGTCCAAGTCAGGACTAACTGAATATCTGGATTCAAGCCTCAAGTGTGTATTCAACCTAATTTAACTCCACTTGTTCAATCTTACCTTCTCTGCTGAAAGGGTTCCAACAGTACAGAACAAATAAAAGTAATGAAGTTATCAGAAAGCTCCATCCCTCCTGGCACTTCAGTTGGGATCCCACTAATACCAACCCAACGCAGATCTCAGCAAAACACAGCCCACGAAGGCATATCCCAGTAGGTCCTGAGTCCTACAACCCACAGCAAGGCAGAGCTGCGCTCACACCACAGCTGGGCCCGGCCTAGGCCACGCGAGGCCCAGCCACCGTGGGCCCAGCCTAGGCGCGCACTGAGCCCGGGCAGGAGAGCTGTGAGGGCTCTGCCCGCGGGGGTCCCACTCTGCGGGGTCACCAAAGGCCCTCCCCCATCACCCCGAGCACAAGTGGCTCCCTGACAAATCCCAGGCAGTAGGGAAGGAGAGGCGAGCCCCTTCGCAGAGGGCTTTGCCTCCTGCCTTCAAGCCGTAAAGAGGAGGAACGTCACCATGAGTGCTTCACTGAGAACTGGCAGCTCCGAGAAGCGAGTCACCGACCAAACAAAAGAAACGAGAACCACCCCTCACAGCCCCGCACCTCCGTCCTAAACTCCCCACAAAGACCAACAACTCTCGGCCGCGACCGAGGCAGCCCCGCCACCCGCAGGAGAAGCTCCCCTGCCCCGCGGCATGGCGCCGGGCCCGCCGTGGCCTATCGCAACGTGGAGGCCCGGCCGGCCCAACCGCACCACTTACCAACCCGACTCCGACAGCGCCGCTCTCGCCCTGTCGGCCATGGCGCCTCCCGTCGCCGCTCACCCGCTGTGCGCGGGGCCGGGCGCCGCGGGGAGTCCGTCGCTTGCAGGAGAGAAGTGGGCCCGCTCGTCTCTCCAACCCCTATGCCCTCTCCGGGCACCCGGCCCGGCCAGTTCTCCGGCGCAGGGTAGGGGCGGAGGCGGCGCACGCAGAGACGAACAATACCCGCGACCGGCGCCAGCCCCGTTCCCTCCCCCTGCGCGGCCGCGACGTGGAACAGGGAGCCCGCCTGCCTGGAAGCCGCCGCCGCCATGGTGAAGAAGGGAACAGCTGAGGGCGGAGAAGAAGGCGCTGCTGGGACGAGGTGCTGCGCCTCATGCTTCTTGCCTCGGTTTATCCCAGGCCTGGGACCTCTCGGTCAGGGCAGCCAGGCGGAGCGAGGCATCTCCACGCATCCCTGATGGGGGTTTCCACCGAGGAACGACGTTGTTGGCCAATAGCCTGCTTCTTCTCTAGAAGGAAGAATAATACTGCAAAGAGAACAGTACAAATATATATAAGTAAAAGTAGTAGCATTGCTAATTGATGTTGTGTGAGAAAAGAGCTCCTTCCAGGTCCTCATGCTGAGTGTTGGGGATGAGAAGTTCTTGGAGTGATAGCATAAAAGGCTCGTTCTGTGTTCATGTCTCTTATAATGCTTTGCTCAAAAACGCCATGTTCTGAAATGAACGTGGAGTTTTATGGTCTGTCTTCTTAACAAATATATATATATATATATATATATATATATATATATATTTAATGTGACATAACTGCATGCACCAGTACAGGTTAGGGGCTGACCTGCTGGAGAGGAGCTCTATGGAGAAGGACCTGGGGGTCCTGGTGGACATCAGGTTGACCATGAGCCAGCAGTGTCCTTGTGGCCAAGAAGGACAATTATATCCTGGGGTGCCTTAAAAAGAACGTTGACCCCAGGTCAAGGGAGGTGATCTTACCCCTCTACTCTGCCCTGGTGAGGATACATCTGGAATACTGTGTCCAGTTCTAGGCTCCTCAGTTCAAAAACAGACAGGAATCTTGTAGAAAGAGTTAAGCAGAGCACAACAAAGATGATTTCTCCTGTGTGAGGAAAGACTGAGACGTATGTGACTCTTCAGTCTAGAAAGGATTGAGAAGGGATCTCATAACTGTTTATAAATGTCTAAAGTGTGGGAGTGAAGTCAATGGAGTGGACTCTTTCCAGTTGCAAGCAACAATAGAACAAGGGGCAATGGGCTGAAACCTGAACACAGGAAGTCCAGTACTAACACAAGGAAGAAATTATTTACTATCAAGATGATGGAGTAGTAGTACAGTCTGCCCAGAGGTTGCAGAGTCTCCTTCTCTGGAGATATTAATGACAGACCTGAATCCCTACTTGTGCAACCTACTGTAGGAAACCTGCTTTAGCAAATAGTTTGGATTTGGTGAATTCTAGAGGTCCAACCCCTATAATTCTGTGATACATTTCTACTGTTAAAGGTATCTAGTTAGCTCAGTTGCAAGTACCTGAGCAATAACCAGCATTTCAACATGAGCAGTTCATGAGTTAAGAAAGGGCTAACCCTAGTCCTGGTGCTCAAGGTTTCTGCCTGCAGGTGAGTGCAGCTACCTTCTGAAAAACACTGAAGGTTAACATTAGTCAGTCATATCAAGGAAATTCTGTAGTCAGTCAGTGCCAAATGTTAGTTCTCTGGTAGTATATGGAGATTTCAAAACCTAGCTGCTTGCTCTGATACCCTTCGTGGGTCACTCTCATCCTTGGGATGTTTTAATTTTCATCTCCAAGTCAAAGCTTGCTATTTTTTTTCTTTATCCATCTGAAAGCCTGGCTTTGCTGTGCTTACTAAAAATCACTCGGAAATTTTACTTGTGACAAGCTGTGACTTCTGCTGTACTGACCAACACCTCTTTCATTCATGCTGCATTGAATTTTCTTACATATCATACAGATACACACTCTCAGACAAAAGTTTTGTCACCAAAGTATATGGTGTCCCTCATTGCTGCTGTTTTTCAAGAAATTACACTTTTTAATCAATTGCAACAAGTTTGACACAGAAGAAGGAAATAAAACCTATGTTGTTTGGATGAATCTGAGCAATTTATTACATTGTACATGTAATAACTCTTGAAGATTTTCTGCTCTGGAGCACTGACAGGAAGAATATACTCTAGCCCTCAAATAATCAATCTCTCCTTAAAATTGATTGACACATGCTGACTCTTCCAGCAAAATCCCAAAGCAACAAGCATCACACTCACAGAAAGTTTAATCCATGTGCTCATCATTAAAAAAAAAAAAAAAAAAAAAAAAAAAAAGTTAACTAGGAAACTGCAGTGACACATTTTTTTATGAAAGTATATTGTACATAGCAATTGCCAGAGCCACCTGCCTAGTTTTCCATAAACTGAGACAACCCAACCAGCCATTTGTGGATTTTTGTGGACTGAATAACCATATGACTTTTGGGGATTTTTAAAGTTTGTACAGTCCCCTATCACTCCAGATGGAATGAGCTTTGTAAAGTAATACTAAGAAGAACTAATAAGAGCTAAAATAATATACCTGTACCAAAGTTATTAAACTAGTGTAATAATGCAAGAGATTCACTCTGAAATATTAGTGGCTGGGTCACACTCAGTATTTCAGCAGTATTGCACACTGAACAGTAGCAGCTGCTGACATGGAAAAATACCAGTAGGTACTTAGAATTGTAGTGCCAGTTCATTCACTTATGCAAAATAAATGGAAATAAAATAACCTTTCATTTAGAGTCTGACCTTGCTGCACATTACATGATCAAGAAAAAACTGAAAACATTGTTGTAGCTCAAAAAGAAGTGCCAATTAGTAAAGGATAGAGCATGACCTAGCTTTCAATACTGTTTCTCACAGTACCTTTCTGAACAAAATGTCCACCATGCAGCTAGACAAAAACATAATATGGTGGGTGAGCAATTGGCTGACAGGCCAGGTTCAGAGGTTTATATTAAATGGGGTTATATCAGACTGGCAGTCAGTCATTAGTGGGGTTCGGTAGGGTTCCATTTTAGTGACAGTTCTCTTTGACATTTTCAAAAATGATCTGTATGCAGGACTTGAATGCACACTAGGTAAGTAAGTTTGCAAATAAAATTAAGTTAGGAAAAGCTGTTGACTCCCTCAAGAAAAAAACAGGCTTTGCAGAGAAATCTTGATGAATGAAGAGTGCTGAGCAGTCACCAACCGCACAAAGTTTAACAAGGGCAAGTACTGGATTCTGCACCCAGGACAGGACAGTCCTGAATAAATGCACATAAATGTGCAGGCTGGGAGACAAGAGATTGGAGAAAGGGACCCCTGTGGAAAGAGCTCTGGAAGTTCTGGTTCATTTTGAGTTGAATCTGAGTGAGCAGTGTGCCCTGGCAGCCAAAATGGACAACAGTACCCTGAGGTGCATTAGGCCCAGCACTGTCAACTAGGCATGAGAAGGGGTTGTCTCACTCTGTTCTGCACTGGTGCTACATCACCTTGAGTACTCTGGGCACAACAAATATAAAAAGGACATAAAACTATTGGAGGCTGTCCAAAGACAGCTATGAAAATGGTGAGAGGGCTGGAGGACAAGATTATGAGGAACTGCTGAGGTCCCTCAGTTTGTTCAGCCCAGGGAAGAGGAAACTGAGGGAAAACCTCATGGCAGGTGCAGCTCCTCATAAGAGGAGCAGGAGGGGAGCAGAGGGGCAGCACTGATCTCTGCTTTCTGGTGACAGTGACAGAACTTGAGGCAACAGCATGGAGCTGTGTCAGAGGAGGTCCAGATTAGGAATTAGAAGATTCTTCCCCAGAGGGTGGCTGGGCAGTGGAACAGGCTCCCCAGGGCAGTGGTCACAACACCGAGCCTGATGGAGTTCAAGAAGTGATTGGACAGTGCTCTGAGACATGGGGTTTGAAGTCTGGGTGGTCCCCTGTGAAGCCAGGAGTTGGACTCAATAGTCTTTAATGGGTCCCTTTCAACTTGGGCCTTTTCAACTCGTATTCTGTGATTCTAGCATAGTGAGAATTACTGACTTTATGCATTACCTCATGTTAGCTTAAGGCATGGAAACTTTTGCTTGCTTAAATCTTCATGAAAATCACCATGCAATTATACTGACTATTTAAGTCAGCATTTGGTTATGTCATGGCACAGAACATCATCTATAAAGTAAATGTAGTAACCAGTGCTGTCTTTTATAAAGGTTTGCAGGCATCAGTTCTAACAAAGTCACATGCAAGCTGAGAGATATATATATACACACACACATACTTTCTTTATATAAGTTCCCATTAGTGCATGTTTCTCTTTATGAGCAGAGGGCACTGCCTGATCTTTGCTGTTTCTAGCTACTGACAGCTGTGTTGCAATGTGAGGTAAATAATTAGGTCCACTGTAAAACACAAGGTGATACAATGCCTGCCAGGCAGTCAAAAACCTGCAAATTGGAGGGATAAGACCCTCCGCACCAACTGTTCATGATAAAACATTCTTAGAGCAGATCTCTGTATCCATCGCCTTTAGAATAAATGAGTTTGCTGAAGGTAATGAGCTTCAGTGTACTTGAGGCTGTACAGGGACTGAGCCCAGACTCCAGCACACCTGTAAGGGGCTCTGTGTCTGTGTAGCTTTCCCTCACTGTTCTTCTTGTGTCCAAACCATAATCTGGTTTGATATAACTTCAGTGAAGTTGAAAAGCTTGTTCCAATTTTTCTTTCCAAGCATCTGTTTCAAAGTGTTAGCCATAGAAAAGCATGAGGTTAAAAGACAAAGTGTGTGAGGAATAACTAACATTGTTAAACTTACACATGAAACTTCATAATTTGTTATAGAAAATAACTTTTTATAGTACCTCTGAAAAATGTCAGTAGCAGAGGAAAAAAGGGTAATTTTCCGTTATTGTGATGGCTTGCACAAATGCACCCACATGCATGGGTAGTTGACAGTCCTATTTAAGAGTGTTTTGTGTGTAAATCACCTATGTAAAGTTCTAAGAAATTCCTGAACCAGATCTTCTTGGAATGAAACAGGAAGGTATCATGGATCAGAAAGGGCTGGTTGCATCCCAGGGGAAGGCAAACCAAGAGTGGAGAGC